CCGCCACAGAGCGGGATGTGATCGGGTCGGACCGACACCGTGGTGGAACGAGTCAGAGCCCTGGGTGAAAACGTGATTGGACGTAGTAGTGTCCAAATGGTACTACATGTACTACTACACCTGTACTGAGTGTTGGTGGTTCAGGTGTGTACAGAGCGGTGGCTCAGTGTAGCCGCTCACCAGCTGTGATGATTGATCTGTCTGTGAGGTCAGAGTTACCAGTTAACTGTCAACTAGAGAATCTCATCACAGTCACAGCATCATCTGGGCCGAGGCACCACCAGGGGGTGCTAGGAAACACGAGCTTCCACCGTGGTGCTGTTTTATATTTATATATATTTTGGTTTTTTTATGTCTGTACGTTGTATTTCCATTCTTAGTTTCTTCGTTTTTTTTTTTTTTATATGAATTGTTTTCAGCTGGTGTGTTTCACACATCGTGACGTGATGTCATGGCGTGATGTCATACGTCATGGTGTGATGTCATACGTCATGGCGTGAGGTCACACCTCAACACCTGAGGTTAAGGTTATTTTTACTCAACAGAAACCTTTTGTCATCAGTCATTAGCCGAGACAAAGAAGTGACTCTGACTAATTCCTCTTTACAATGGGCCCACATTGAATCAATACCAGGTGAAAAGCTGCGGGGCCCCCTGGAGGACGGTACATGGCGGTAATCATGCCCACTGGACGGCTTATAATTAGATTCTAATTGGATGGTAACTAATGAGACGAGGCCTGAGCGGTTTATCAACCTCCTCTGAACCTTTGAGTACGAAGGACATCAGCTGAACAATGAAACGGTCCAATCAGAGAGCAGCGCTGAGGATTACAGAGCTGTTATCAGTCAGACGGCGCTCCGCCACATGTCCCAGACGCCAGGCCTCTCCAACCAGGTTCTCAATCATCTTCAGTCCAATCACTGTGCTGCTCTGAACAGACGTGACGTAAACATGCGTTCTACATCCAGGCCGCGTCCCAGTTAGCCCGTTAGCCCGTTAGCTTCGTGCATGTCTACATTTCCCCGACTCGTTACAGACGGGGCCGTCGACCTTGTGCTCACGGTTCATGTACAAGAGCAGATGTGTTGTCGGGGGGGGGGTCATTGAGAGCAGCAGTCATTAGACCCACTGTGACACAGCGCTGTTCTCACGAAATAAAGTCGAGGAAACAAAAGGCAGAGGCGACGAGATGAGTTATGGAGGAGAAAAGACCCCAGTAGAACGAGCCGACTCCTACTTCAGGGGGTTTTCTTTGTAGGACATGGGGGGGGGGGGGGAGGAGGGGGGGGGACTTTGGAAAATGATCCGTACGCTGCCGGGCTGCTCTCGAGTGTCGTTACGGCAACTTACCGGGCTCACGGATACACACATGCCAGTGAAAACCAACAGAGGGGTGTGTGGGGTATGTCCACAGTCGGCGTGGTGCGTTCAAGGGTGTTCTGTAGAGGTGAGGCCGCGCTTCAACAATCAATCTGTATTAGGGAGGATGAGAGTGAAGAATTGATTTAATGAATGCAGCCTCATGTCCTGGAGCCACGTGTAATCCACCGAGAATCAGGAGCCTGAGCCCAGGGGTGTTCACGGCAGACTGCTGGAGTGGTCTGTGATGATAGTCTCCACATAATCCCATAATTCCTTGTTTAATTAAACTGTAGATCTGCCCCTGCCCCTCTGCCCCTCTGCCCCTCTGCCCCTGCCCCTCTGCCAGCTCTGTTGCTCTTTTGTTCTCACAGTTGTTATTTGGAGGTTTGGTCGGAGAATTCTTTCATGTTCAAATCTTTGGCCGCGACGGATGTTTAGAGACGCATCAGAGCCGCGAACAAAGACCACGACGACGACGATGGCGGCAGCGGCGGCGGCAGGACCCAGCAGTCAGGTGAACACTGTGTCTGTCAGGAACATAAATCTCTTCTTCAACGTCCGCCTTTATTTCCTCTCTCCCACACTCTCTGGACGTTGCGTGATGCAATCCCGCTGGGCCCGCAGCAACGTTGGCACGTCACGCCACCCTGTCAGAGGCTCAATGAGGAAATTATGAAAATGCGAGTTTTGCGACGCGAAATGAAAGAATCCTCGTATTGAATAGACGTGAAGAGGAGGTGAAAATGATGCAATTTTCTAAATTCAGTTATAAGGCTAATGTGCTATGCTAAAGCACATTAGCTGTCAGAAACGCCTCCTTGGGTCTGGATCCTACGTCTTTGTGTCGTATCCTTATGAAATGCAGTCGGTTGAGAGCCTCAGATGTGATGTCGATGTCGACGTGTTCTCGTGTGTTTAACGTCGGCTGACTAAAGCCCCGCTGCCGACGCCTTTTGTCGGGGTATTTGGTTCTGCACTTGTGCTGTGTGTGAGCAATCTGCCCCGGGCTACTGGGTGAGAGGCAGCAAGGTGGCCCGTGCAGATTAACCCCCCTCTGCCCCCCCCCCCCCAGAGCTGCAGCAGGAGCCTCTTCTACGTTACATAAATATCCACCGATTAGGATAAGGTTCCCCTGGTGGTGTGTTGGGGGCGCTGCAGCTGCGATGAGTTCAAATGTCATTTTCTCTTTAACTATTGTAACCCCCCCCCCCCCCCCCCCAGGTAACCGCACCGATGACGGCTCAGACGTAGATTCGGAGCCCGACTTGCCCCTGAAGAGGAAGCAGAGGCGCAGTCGCACCACCTTCACCGCTGAGCAGCTGGAGGAGCTGGAGAAGGCGTTTGAGAGGACGCACTACCCAGACATCTACACCAGGGAGGAGCTGGCTCAGAGGACCAAGCTGACGGAGGCCAGAGTTCAGGTCAGGCTGCAGCCACAGACACCACTGCTGGTGGAAGGTGGAAGAAATATAGTTCATCTTAGTCGGAGATTGACATCTGACTTGGCTGTTCATCGACCTTTGACCCCTCAGGTCATTTACAGTAGCTGTAGAAAAAGCGACCGTTTTTCTTCAGTAAATCTCCGTCTTCATCTTCACACATTTAAATGATGCAACAAACAGAAATAGTTTCCTGCACATTTGGCTGATTCAGTTCTGCTGCAGCTGAACTTTGAACTCTGAACTCTGAACTCTGAACTCTGAACTCTGAACTCTCCACTGCCAGGGTCCATGAGCTGCAGTGGCAGTTGTCACAGTTGTCACAGTCACTGGGGCAAATATTTGGTCTGACTGGGCTGACTGGGACATCATCCTCATCTTCATCTTCATCTTTATCCCCCATACCCACATCTTCACCCCCCCCCCCCCCCCCCCCGCCTCCTGTCTTCTGCCTATTGCTACCAGTGACTCGTTGATTTGTTTCCCTCTGTTCTTCACTGCTCTCAGTTAGACCTGCTGTCACAGTGTTTGGACACTGATGCCCCCCCCCCCCCCCCCATCTTCACACCTCTGGCCCAGAGATGTGTCTGGCCGACGGCGCTGCTGCTGGACGCTAGAGTTATGGCAGCAGCTGGGCTCAAACTCAGAGCATTCCTGATGGATTTCACATTTCGGCCTTTGGCCAGGATCTCATGGTCTTTCAAGCTCGCCGCTGCTTGTAAAATCTTCCACATATCACACAGGGTTCCTCATCCTCTCTGGGGAACCTGCAGACCCCCGACCCCCGACCCCCGACAACAACATTAATCAATCAGCTGCTAGAACAAAAAAAAAAAAGTCTGGGGCACCGACCGCTCTCCTCTTACCACGATCACTCACCCTGAACTAAAACTAAAACCTCCTCACTGTTCATCACACTGCAAACATGCAG